GTGGGCAAACTTGTTTTTTCATGTATGAAGGTTTGGTTTATGGAAAATATTGAGCAGTTCAGTGGGAAAGATCCTCAATTCTAAAAAACAACACTCTCAGAGAAGAATATTCATATCATTCCTCTCTGCTCTCATAGGACTTGACTGTAACTCAGAGACCTTTCAGGAAGAATTGAGATATGCAACCTAAAAATTTTGTTGACAAGAAAACTAAATATAACTGGAACTTCAAAACATTGGTGGTTGATGGGGTCAGTAGATGAGGCCTTTCAAATACAGATGTCTCACTGAGCTCTTATCTCTCTCAACTGAAGCGGAAGAGTCTTGAGACTGGAAAGGACATCACTGTTCACCTCTTGCATTTAGTATTTGCTCCTCCTGACTTCCATCTGCTGTTAGAATTGTTGAGCCCTTAATCCTTCATCTGGTTGTCCCTGAGCTTTCCAAACCTTACATTTACAAGCACAGTTTGAGTTTCGTTTTGTTTTCTAAAATCCTCATACATTACCCTCCTCCAGTCTGCTGAATCTTCCCAGCCCTATGGGGCACCCTATTGTAAGGCCTCAGTGCGGCTTATCTCCATCAGTTTGGCTGTTCTTGGTGCAGAAAAAGTGAGTGTCAAATTAGCAAACTTCACAGTTCCTCTTTTAGAGCATTAATGAAAAATATCCCAGTACTAACATCTTTTCAGTTGTAAGAGAGACTTTTTATAAATCAGTGCCTCGTTGGAATCCAGCATTTACTTTGCAATTCCACCCTTTCCTTGATTTACCAGATTTGGTTGAAACTGTGGGATGATGTTTCTCTCAAAATGGGCCCTTACAGTTTCCAGTCAATTCTGCGGTCTCTCTGCTGTTCTCCACCACACGTTCTCACATAGCCTCCTGTCACCTGTAGTCTCCTATTCCCCCTTTCTTCTAACTCCCAGCAAGGACCCTGCCTGCCACGTTCTGGAGAAGAGAGAGCCTGTCAGGTAGTAAGGCCATCGAGCTCTGTGGTGCTGCAGGCCCCTTCTCTCTTTCTGCCCCTTATCTCCTAAGAGGCAACCCCGTTCACTTGGACCACCTGTAAATCTGACCTGTGCTCTGCACCTTCTTGCTCCTACCTTTTCCACAGGGGTCTCTCTGAATTTGTCATCCCCTCATTAACTTACCCAGCCTCTGCACCTGAAGGCATCTCCCTCCTGCAACCCTTTCCATAGCTCTGCTTGGATGAGAATTCTGCTATTCACTAATCTACTTCTTCCGGCTACTTTCTACTCCCATCCTTCCCTGAAACTATCCTCCAAATGGCCACCAAACTGCTGCCATACTCCTAATTCTGATGTGGTATCTTAGTCTTTGTCTTGCTTTTCTCTCAATAGCATTTGCTTTTCTTATCCACAAGCTATCTTTGAAAAATGCCCGGCCATCGGCGTAGCCTGTTCCCAGGCTTCTCATTCTTTCCTTGGGCTCATGTTCTGTGTCATGTCTCCAGTGGTGCGTCTACCCGGGGCTGACTACTCCCACCATCCCGGCTCCTCCCACTCTTCTGGTTCCCTGTGGCAGAATCTGGCTCAAACTGAACTAATCGATTAGAGGGGCGACCACCACCCCTGCCCCCCACTTGTGTCAGTCCCACTGCCACTGCAGTTCGCCACCACCACCACCTAGTGCCACACAAAGGAAACGCATTGATTCATGTGCCTGAAGGTTCAGGAGTGGGTTTGAGGGAGCTGGGCAGACCCCCCACTTCTCCTTGCAGGTCTCATGCCAGACATGCTGCTGAGGAAAGCCTTCCACCTGCCTTCTGGGTGTACCCTTCCTGCTAGAACATTCTGCTTTTCCACCTTAGCAATCATCATACTTTCTCGTAATTACTTGTGCGATCATCGGTCTCCCTCAGTCGACTAGATGTCCACCAAGGCAGTTATTCCCCTTAATTTGGTGAAATATTTTCAGTGTCATGGTGGAGACATTTGAAAAATACATATTGAATTGAAAAGAAAATGGGACGTGATTGTGCTAGACAGCTTTCCAATTCTCTTCCAGGTTTCAGAATCTAGATGGATTGGCTAAGCTACTAGACAGTCTAAACTTATAATCTCGACCTCCTTTCTGTAGCTTTATGCTTATTGGTGCTCCATGAAGAAGAGTCATTTTAGACTTAAAAAGGATCGAGTCATCTTCTGGTACTGATTCCTCGGGGGGCAGATTAGGAGCGGTGCAGCGGCCTCAGTGACTGCCCAGCCACAGAGCCGTTGTGGTAGCGTCATGCGGCTAACCTCAGACCCCGCCTTCCCTGTCCAGAGCATTCCGGCCGCGTGACCGTTCAGCGCTCCGCCTGGGCCAGGGTGTGTCACTTCAAAGAAATCGTGTTGTCTTATCCTCGCATTTTACTTTTGTTTTTTTATTTTTTTGTTTTTTGTTTTTCAGTTTAGAGCACTGTACACGAGTTAGAGGTGTGAGTTCATGCCTCTTCAGACACCTGGTGTCTCCGAGGCCGCCGCCAGGTCCACCACAGTCCGCTGGCCCCTCCCCGTCATGTGTTTGACTTCTCCAGTCGTGTTTATTGATCCTGTACAGCTCAATAGACTCGGGCAGCTTTTCAGCACGGAAACCACTTTCTGGTCACAGGTTGCCTAAGAATGTTCTAGACTGTCAGCCCTTGTAGGAAGGGTCAGCACCGGGTGCCCTTGGCTCTCTGACACGTTGTCCTCAGGGAGCTGGAAGTCACGCTGGGGAGCGGCCGTCCGGGAGTTTCACCTGGGAAGGGTAGGTTCGTGCGCTGAGGGGCCTGAGCGCTCATGCTGCCAGGACGCACCGACGCTTTGCCTTCACCTCTAGAGCCCCTGCTCTCCACGGCCTCCGTGGGGTGCTGATGCCCCCTAGGGAATGCAAACTTGAGAACAGATTGTTTCTATAAAAACCAAGTGGAGGGTTGGAGGAAGACCGAGTACCAGTACTTGCTAAAAATAATTGTAATAGAGCTGATCCGGCTGAGAAACAATTACTGGGGAATGTTTCCGTTTTTTTAATTTTAATTTTTCAATTAAAATATTTAGTTGGTAAAAAAAAAATAAGAAAAAAGAAACAACTCTTTGGAAACCCAAAATGGAACCTGTTGATCAAATAAATCATAAAGCTGGTGATTCAACCGATTCAAAAGAAAATTCCTGCACTGCGCATCCAGAGACTTTACATAAATGTTCTTCAAGCACTAATTGGAAACAAAATCTTCAATCTGTCTTTTCATTGATTCCTTTCTTGAGCTGATTAGTTCAGTGAACAAGATTTCCTACGCTTTACCGTTTTATGTCAATTTGTTTTAGCATTCTGAAAATCACAGTTGTAATTTTGCTTTGGAAATGAACTGGGCTCCATATTTCATTTCTTCCAGATCTTACCAGAGTGCCGACGGCATGTGTTCTGCAGATGCCTCTGATGACAGGACTTTATTTCCCTAGCCAGTAGTGGGGCCAGCTCGTCTTTCTTACCCCGAGTCAACATTATTGTTTTGTTTCATCTTTACTCCTTCCTTCTTCTCAGCTGGCAGCATTGCTTCTTCTAAAAGGAGAGCAGAAGGGAATGTGGACTGCAAAGCCTCAACAGTCCCTTCCAGGGCTGGCCATGTGTTTGTCATAGTTCTGGATGCTAAAAGGAAACTTAAAATGAAGTGAAAGACAAGTTAAAAATATATTGAAAACAGATGTTTGCACTTACATTAAGAAATTCCAAATGCAGCCCTTTGACCCAGCAAGTCTCCTTCTGGAAATCCGTCCTGTGGAAATAATTGAACACATGCAAAGAGATTTCACTCTAACATGCTCGCCTCAACCTTCCTCATAATGAGCACGAATTAGAAACGACTGGAAATTTCAACCGCGGGGACTTGGCCTATAAATACCATAGAATCCCTTGGTTAAAAAGAATGTGTTTCGGGAGGAAGAGGGGAGAGAAAGTGGGTAGGGAGCACAGTGGACTATGGTGGACTGTTTAGGTGGTGGGTGTGCTGTGCCAACGATACCTGAAGAAGATTCTCTACCAGTAACTCCTGCAACCGTGTAAACACATGTTATCTCAGCAAAAAGAAAGAAGGAAGGAGAAGGGAGTGGGAAGGAAGAAAGAACTTAGTGCCATATATAGGTACAATTTATTCATTGCAAAAGCATAATCTATAAAATGTACAGTTTCCCTTTTTGAAAATAAATGACAAGGAGACTTTACATCGAGGTGATATGGTAGTAAGGAATTGTTTTCTCACCTGCGTTTTAAACTTCCTACAGTAAACTTCTATACAGATCTTTTTAAATGAAAAACTACCCTAAACAATTTGGCGCCTGTGATCATCATTATATGACTTGTTTTCTTTGGAAGTAATTGATTATAGAAATAACTATGTCAGTAGTTGAAGTCCTAAAAGCAACGCAGTCATTTCTGTTACTCTCCTGCCGCCATACCACCTCTTCCCCTGGACGCTGTGGGGCCTACTCCATAGCTCTGTGGAGTCTTGTGACAAGTTTTACTTATTCTCTGTAATATGTAACGTGGAGACATTTACTTTTCAGTTTGGTCTGAGTTTTGGAGAGCTCCTCCTCGTTATCGGCCAGCGGAGGTGTTAAAACACCAGCAGCCCTGAGTTCACAGGGTCTCACTGAATAATTAGTGTGGACTCCCGGCCACCCAGGGTCACTCTCACTCTTTTGGCCCCTCTGAACAGCCACTAATTGTTGAGTTAAATTCTGAGTTGGTATTTAATAATGCAACAAACACTTGAGAACTGAGTCTGGCTTCAAGCCCTGACTCTCTTTGACTCCTGTGTTCTTGGGAAAGCAACTCAATTTCTCTGGACCTTGGTTTCCTCACTTATAAAATGAATAGTCTACCTTGTGGGAAGGATTAAATGAAATACAAAATGTCGAATGCCCGACAAACTCTCAATAAGTAAACTCTCAATAAGTAGTCATTCTTACGTGTCTGATACGTGGCAACTACTAAGATTCACGTTCATTCATTCGACAGACACTTAGTGAGTGCTTCTACGGAGCAAACAGTGTTCCAGATGCCAAGGTCACATCCGTGAACAAAACAAAAGACTCCCCTGTTCCTGTGCAGCCTACATTGTGCAGATGCAGAGATGCAGTACAAGGTGGGTCGTCGTGAGTATGACAGCGGAGTTAATCTGACCCTTCTTATGTGCCGGTCACTGTGTTAAGTGGTCTTCAGTATACGACCTTGTTTTCACATAAACCCCGAGAGCTGAGACTGCCGTGGTCAGTTGAGAGCCTGAAGCAGCCTCAGAGAGCATGCCCCAAGTGGCAGCAAGTGGGCAAAGAGGTGAGCAGCTGCCCTCACGCCCGGGTTGTCTGGTCTAAAGGCCCACCTAGCCACTCCACCTTCCTACCGCCGCGCGAGAGTCTGGCCTCTGGGCCCTGCACGAGCTCTTTTTTGTCAGCAGTGCTTTCTCAACATCTTGCCAGAATTTTCTGCTTGGGAGTAGGACATATGGGGGAAGAAATGTGAGTTTTCCTCATTTTGTAAGAAAACCCTTACTTACTCTGCAGGGAACAGTCAGGGAGGGAATAAAGGAAGTGCTGCCCAGAGTGGGGCTTTGAATCCGGTAGGCCTCACCGCTGCCTCCGCGTGGAATAGCCGCGCCAGCTGGGGGGCCGCCGCCTCGAGGGGATACGGAGGACTGGGGTTGCCCCGCTGAGTCCCCAGATGCTGGTGTTCCTGCCACTTGACCGTAGAGGAAGCCAAACATGGGCGCCTCCCCCACATGTGAGATTTCCTTCTGTGGTCAGTTACCAAGGTCAGCTGCAGACCTAAAGATATTGCCGAATTTTGATAAGTTTTATGAAGAGTGCTATTACTGTTCTATTTTATGCTCCATTATCGTTAGCCTCTTTGATGGGTCTGCTGCTCTCCACAAGCACGTGTGTGCATTGCATGCAGGTTCGGCGCACCAGCGATTCCAGGCATCCTCGGGGGATCTGGGGGCACAACGGGACACTACTGTGCAGCTCACGGTGTCACATGGTCTTGATCTCCTGGAGCCTTTAGGAAGGATCCCTCCAGTCCCAAATAGCCTGCTCCCTCCTCTCCTCTACAATCACCCATCTGTTTGGAATATGCAATCCTGCAGAGGTAATGCTGAAAATACAGCTAGAATTGACAAAGTTGTTATTATGAAATCATTCAAGTATGCAGGAAAATATGAATGAAAATACCCACTGCTTGGCTTTGTCAGATCTTAGTATGTCGCCTTTTACCCCAGATTCTTTCAATTAAAAAAGAAATCCCGATGTAGTTAAGGTCCCACTCTGCTGTGTGCCCAGTTTCATTCCTTCCCTTCCCTTCGCAGAACTCTGCTGACTTGTCATCAGCATGCATGCTGTGATGCGTGCGAGGGCAAATGGCTTTGCTCACGATGAACTGAGCTACGTCCTCGGCCCATGTCCCGAACACACGGGCCGAGTTTCCCCGGTGGCATCTGGAGCGGCAGTTGCCAGGCCACGGTAGACACACGGGTTTCTCTCCCTAATATTGCACCTGTGGTGGTGTGTTGGCCAACTTCTGCCTCTCCGCCACTGCTGGTGTGGCCTTTGAGGCTTTTGGCCTGTCGGAGGCCTGTGACATGCACCACTTGTTGAATGGACTGTTCATTCCTTGTTGAGTGCCCTTGGCACCTGTGTCTGATCTTCTGTAACGGGGAGGTTTATTTCTGGGCTCCAGGTTCTAGTCCATTGGTCCCTGTGTCTATTGTCCAGCATGACAGTTTGCATGTCTTAGTTTTGTACTATTTTAAAATTAGGCAGTATTCTATTTTTTAAAGATTATTTTGTCTATTTGGGGCCCTTGACACTTTATATGAGATTTTGGCTGAGATTGCATTGAATATATATGTATATATATCACTTTGGATACTATTGACCTGAATGTCTTAACAATTAAATCTTCAGTGGGATACTGAGCAGAACCAAGGGGTATCTGGGAACCCTAAACTGTTAAGGGGAAGCCCATGTTGCCTGTTCTAGGGATTCATGTCACCCACATGCATATTGCAAAGTAATCAGACTCTGGTGTGCTCAGATTTTTAATTGATGAGGAGCTCAGAGGCCATCTAGAGAGGAGGTAGGGTTTCAAAATACAGACTAGCAAACTCTGAGAGCACTGGGGGCCCTCCTGGACAAACAGCCAGCCAAACAGGCTGGGTCCAGAGTCTGCGTCCACACCCTAAAACCAAAGCTGCCCAGGTTGCAAATCCAAGGCCCCTCCCACCGGACTACAAGCCAGGGCTAGGCAGGAGCAGGGGCAGGCAAAGAAGCAGAATCCACCAGGGCTCACAGCAGCTGAGTCCGCCCAGGAGGGCAAGACAGTGGCGAGAAGAAAATCCAGGAGAGCATCTGCCCATGGGCCTTCTGTTCCTCGCCCCATCCCCCAGAGCGCCAGGGCTCTTCCCTCCGCCCCAGCAGCCCCCACTCCGGAGGTCTGCTCAAGCCATGCCCAGAGCTGGAGTCCACGCTGTGGGCTCAGTGACGGGGAGCAGCTCTGAGGGCCGCACCCCGGCCGTTCCGCTGCTCCCGCTGCCTCCGACGGGCACAGGTTCACAAGCGCAGGCTGTCTTTGCACTAAGGCTCTCTGTCATGTCTTCCAACAGTGTTTTACACTTTTTTCCACTGTTTAAATTTTAGGTTGCTCGGTGGCTGATACCCTCTAGTGAGACAGCAGTATGTCTTCAGGGTACAACATGAGAGATTTTTCTGAGGTACAGTCATAAACTTTACTGTAGGGCGCTCCTCGGTGGCGCAGCAAGTTGCAGCACAGCAATATGAAGCTGTCTGCAGCTACTGAAGCGTGAGTTCAATTCCCGGCCAGGGAGGCGGCGCACATGGTGCCGCAGACCTCTTCTGACGCGTCCGCTGGCTCCCTTCAGCAGTGGATTTCAGTCAGTCTGCCTGTTCTGCTGCCCATTCTGTTGCTGGAGAATTCTCTCACCCACTGCACTTCTGGCCTATACCCCCATTCTTGTATGCATAAATAAATAAATCTTTAAAAAATTTTTTTACTGTAAAGGAAGAAAGCAACATAGTATATATTTTTAGTACCAATATTGGTTTCCTTAGTCCTGATCTCTTAGGATCCTTGAATAAGGGAAAAAAGGAAGAAACTTGTCTGGCTTACAGATTCTTGGGAGATTTTGCTTACTTCACCATGTTCAGTAGGTCACAGTAAGGATTAGTTTACCCTCTGCTGAATTCAACTAAAAAAACTAGGAAAATGTTATTATTGAACCCATGTCCAGTATCTTCTCTAACTCCATTTCCTATCATTGTATTCACATTGCAACATATATTTTTACATAACATAGGACAAAGGGTTTCAGGTCTTTGACTTTCTTAAGTTCTGTCTACCCTTTCTCATACCCAGTTCAGTATTAGTCCTTCAGGCATTTAAATTTGCTGGTACATGCCACAAACCCCTTCTCTCCCTTCATTAAGTCCACAGTATGCTGTGAAAGGTACTTAAATTACTTAGATTGTACTAAAACATTAGGAGAATTTGCAATCTACTCAAATTTTCTTTCTCCATGAACACAAAGACTGGCTATGCTTAGTCCCATTAAAGAATAACTCCAAACTTTTTCCTGCAGATAATGGTTCCGCATCAAAATAGTTTTTAACAAGGGAAACAGAGAACTATTATTCAGTGGACCCTTTCAGGCTGAGAGGAAGAAAAAGGCGTCTCTATGTGTGAGAGCCAGAGCAAGATGGGGAGAGAAGGGCAGATTTAGTCTTCCGGACCTGAGGCTCCACGTACATTGTGTATTGACTTTGTAAATCGAGCACGAGGCCTCTCTATTAGCACGTCTATTGAATATTCCCTCAGTATTCTGGGCACTCTGAAATTTGTCACCTGATTGACTTTTCACAATATCTCTGCACGACAAATCATCATTTTGCCCATCTTATCAGAAGACCAGTCTCCAAGGCTGTAGTTTTGCCATGGTCATGAAGCGAGTAAGTGACAGGGCTGGATTCAAAACAGAGAGACTGGCTCCCAAACCCCAGCTCTGGTCATTTTCCTAGTGTTGACTCCATCTATCTTCTATGTGGGGATTCAGAATCACTCGTCCTCCTCAATAGGTATCTGGCAAGCAAGGGCCCACATGTTGCATTTCACTCTGCCTCACATACATTATGATCTAGCCTCCTTAAAAGGGGACCTGGACAGGACAGGGGGAGATGGAGAAGAGACTAAGTGGGTAGTTGCTATAAACCTTGAATAATCACCAGTTAACTGGCAGTTGAGGGGGTGGGAAGGAGCAGGTAGGGTCAGGACGCTTCAGGACACAGCCCCTGAATATCCATTTGCTTTTTTAGATAATCTCCCCATTTCAGAGATGCCTGCCATTCAAAGCGCTTTCCTCTGAAAAAGGAGGAACAAAAGGTTTGTTTTGGTTTAGTTTTATTACTTTGCTTTGTTTCTCTATCTTCCACATGAGCAAAATTATTTGTTAGACCTGGCTCATGGCAAAGCCCTGAGGTATGCTGCTTTGGATCTTGCTGAAGTGCACTGATCCTGGACAGTGTGCTGGGAGCAGAACTAGGAGAAGGCGCTCTTGACTTCCAGGCCAAGTCCTAGCCTCTGCTGCTCACTGCAGCTTTGCGGCACATAAAACAAAAACTCACTCCCATAAATGGCTGACATGTCATTTAAGTTTTTCTTTTTAAGCTGAGGCAACATTGGCTTACAACACTAGATGATGCAGAGGTATATGCTCAGATATATGTTATCACACCACACCCACACCACAGCACCCATCATCTTCCTCCACGATAGTCCTCTTCAGCTTTTGCACCCCACCCCCACCTGCCCTCTCTAGTAGCTTCAGTTTTGCAGTCAGTTGTCAAGGGTTTGTTTTGGTTTAGTTTTAGTACTTTGCTTTGTTTCTCTGTCTTCCACATGAGCAAAATCATCCAGTGTTTGTCTTCCTTAGCATCATCCTTCTAGTTACATACATGTTGTTACAGGTGGCAAGATTTCATCCTTTGTATAGCTGAATAGTATTCCACTGTGTATAAAGACCACTTTTATCACTCAGCTGTCAACAGGCACTTGGTTGTCTCCTGATTCTGGCTGTTGTGC